TTTGTTATGACTGGTGAAGGAGTGGAACTAGAAAGGAATTGCTCCCCCTCCTAGATCATTGTTGTGACAGTGGATAAAGGGAAACCAATAGATGCACTGTACCTCAATTTCTAGGATGCATTTCACAAGGTGCCCATCAAAGGTTAGCATATAAAGTAAGAACGCTTTTTGTATGGGGTAACATATTAGCATGGCTAATGGATGAAGTGGCTAATAGGAAGCAGAAGGTGGGTATAAATAGCTTATTTTCAGGTTGGCAGGATGTGACAAGTGGAGTGCTGCAGGGACCAGTATTGGGGCTTCAATTATTTACAATGTAAACAAATGACTTGGATGAAGGGATCAAGGTCATGGTTGCTAAATTTACTGATGATATAAAGTCTGGTAGAAAAATACGTTGGAAAGATGATATTAAAAGAAAATCTTAAGGAGTCTGTAAAGGGATGTAAACAGGTTCTGAATGGGCAAAAAATTTGGCAGATGGAGTATAACTCAGGACAATGTGCACTTGTCCACTTTGTCAGGAGGTTTAGAAAAGCGGGATATTATTTAAATGGAGAGAGATTTTAGAACTCTGTGGGGCACAGAGATCTGGGTATCCTGGTACATGAATCACAAAGAAGTTAGGATGCAGGTAAAGCAAATGATTTGAAAGGCAAACAGAATGTTGGTGTTTGTTGCAAGGGAAATGGAATATAAAAATAAGGATGTTTCACCATAGTTGTATGGAATATTGGCGAGGAGGCTTCTTTTCCCCCTCAGAGGCTAATGAGTCTTTAAAATTTTGTTTTCCAAAGAGCAATGGAAAGCGAGTTATTAAATAGTTTTGCGACAGAGGTATACAGATTCTTTACTAACGAGGAAATTAAAGGGTATCAGGGATAGGACTGAATATAAATTTGAGACCACAATGAGATCAGACATGATCCTATTAAATGGTGGAGCAGACTCAATGGGCTGAATGACTCACCCCTGCTCCTAATTTGGATGTTTGCAAACCTTTTCGCTTGTAAGGTGGTAGTTCAGAACTTCTGCTGCTCCTCTTTGACTTCATGTAGAAATGATGTTTTACTTTGTTGAACTTCAACCTTGCTTTCTTGGGAATTTCCTTTTACAAATAATTTCCATTTGCCCAGAATTTTTCTGTGGTGAAATTGGAGCTGTTGATCTGCAGTGCTTCTCATAATGACCTGCTCTTCCACATTGATAGTGCCCCCTGCTGGACACTCAATGCACTTCTGATATTTTCTTGAGATAGTAGGAACTGCAGATGCTGGAGAATCTGAGATAACAAGGTGTAGAGCTGGATGAACACAGCAGGCCAAGCAGCATCAGAGGAG